CCTGACTGCGACTTGGCATCCTCCCCAAAGAATTAAAAATAATAATAATAATAAAAAATCGTGTTTCTGCCTTTTCAGGGGAGTTTCTCTGCCATGCCTGAAACGAGATCGGATGAGCCAGCGATCGAGTCCTCCCTTCTGTTCGCTGCTGCTTCTTTTTCTTCTTCAATGTCTTTGTTTTTATAACTCTTTTACCATTAAAATGGGGTGTTCCTTATAAAACTAGCTGGTGTTTCGTACGAAAGCTTTGTGATTCTTCGTCGCACCCAAGGCGGCCTCTGCAATTATCGTTGACCAAAAATAAAATAAAAATACACATTTCCTCACCAGGATCACGGGTGATCCAGTCCTTTTAAATAGTCCTTTTTCACTCCAGGAAAAAGGGAGAAAAATAATCTACATTCTAGGCTAAACTTCCCGTGATTTGGGTTATTTTTTTTTTCTGAATTTTTCCAGTCAGCCATCGACGCTGTGATGTTTTTGGTTGGAAATTGCATCGCCTCCTGTGCTTTTCCAGGGGATTCACACACAAACACACACGCACCAAAAGCAAGCTGCGAATTTATTTAACTAGCAAAGTTGGAAAGAAAATTAAATCCCGGTTTAGCCCACGGAGGACATTCTTTTTAACTGCTCCTTGGTTTAAAAGAAACCTTGGCCCCACACTCTTTCTGGATATTTTCCTTTTTTTTAACCCCAAACACACACACATACACACACGCTCCCAAAATCAGCCTGCAAGACAAAGAGTTCATTTTTCACTGAAACTTTTATTTTCCCCAGAAGTTTGGGGGGGGGGGGGAAATCAAGGGTCCAACTTTTAGGTTATTATTATTATTCCACTTGTTAAGGGAGTCCCTCCTTCCGCTCTACAAGTATAATTAATTCTATATATATATATATAAAACACTGTGCGACTCAAACATATTTCTACTCTTCGTCTCCGCTGCGAGTTGCAAAAATAGCCCAGCGAAATTTTTCTCTCTGGCCTGCGTTTCCCCCAAACCCCAATATTTTTTTGGGGGGGGGTCACTTTCCACATTCGTTCAGGAGTTTGTGGGTGCCTGTAAAAAAACGGCAGCAAGCTCGGATTTATTTTATTTTTGCCTTCAGATTCCCCCTTCCTCACTTGCTGGGAGAGCTATGGGGGTAGTGGCTACTCGCATCCAGGAAGGCCTTCCTCCGGGCGGTCTCCTTACCCACGCTGTGGTTCAGCCGTCTCAGGCGTTCCTGCGGGGGAAAACGGGCGGCATTGTTAATTTGTGATTTATTTACTCGCTCGAGGCCCGTGCTTCGCTTACGAAACTACGTGGTGGGGGGGCTTAGTTTTCGGGGAGGAAAACAAAAGGGGGGAAAAAATTCTGCCTCTTGCCTTACTGGCATTCATCTGGCTAGCAGTCCTGTTCGGTGTGTGAGAGTGGAGGGCTGTTTGGAAACTGAAACAGTATTTGCTACGCTCAACTGTCCTAAAGCTGCTTGGTGCTCTGAAACGGAAACTCCTCTGCTTGTGTTTTTGCCTTTGGAAGAGGTTTCTTTCCAGGTGGGGAGGGGGAGTAGAACTCCTTAGCATCAGAGCATGTTAATAATAATTAATAATAATTATTATTATTAATAATAATAATAAAGGAAATGCTCTGAGGGTCATTTGGAAAAATCCTTTCTTAGTGAGCCCCTAGATTTTGTGGGTGGTATATTTTGCTTTTATATATATAGATGGAAGATAAAATTTTGTTTTGTAAAATATTTGCACCTAGTCCTCGACTTTCCTTCAGTGACTGTTCAGAGTTGAAACTGAAAAAGGCGACTTGTTTTTCGCACTTAATGACGGTTGCAGCGTCTCCCTCCCCGCCCCCATGGTCACGTGAACAAAACCCAAGAGGCTTGGCAACTGACTCGTATTTATGACAGTCCCAGGGCTCACCTTTTGCGACCTTAGGGTTGGCAAGCCAAGTCAAGTGAGAATCCAGATTCACTTCACCGTGCGATTAACATTGATTCACTTAACGGCTGTCTTACTTAGCAACATAAACTTTGGGCTCAGTTCTGGCCATAAGTCAAGGACTACCTGTATTTTCATTTATTTCATAAAATGTTGTAGGCCGCCAGGTAACCCTGGGCGGCTTACAATGCTTCAAACCCTCCCGCCCTCGATGGAAATTCACGAAGTCCTTGACTTAACGACCATAATGTTCACTTGTAATGGTGAGTCACCCTAAAGTAAGTCACAGATAAAGAGTTGGAAGGGACCTTAGAGGTCTTCTAGTCCAGCCCCCTGCTCAAGCAGGAGACCCTGTGCCATTCCAGACCAAATGGCTGCCCCATTTTATAACACATGTTTTGTGGGGGGGGGTTGTTAAGTGAACCACTGCCGTGTTCACAGTTTGGCACTGAGCCAAACGACTGCTATCGACCGGTTTTATAAAATAAAAATAAAAAGATGTAATTGGTCATTCGGTGGTCATAATGCACCCTACTTGTGACTTTTGAAGTTCCTTCACAT